TGTCTTTTTACATATCCGGAGAGGTCTTATTTAATAACTGCGGTGAGAATCGCATCTGAGCTTGACAGAAATTTTTCCGAGCCGCGAGAAAGACTTTTTCGACTTTGACTTTTAGCGGTTTTTCCTCCACCTGTGCGTTATACCCTCTCCCCCTAGTTGGTGGCGCAGTCATCAAAGACCTGTACAACTATTAATTTGAATAGGTGAGATCAGCAGCTATGGTAGGTGGCGACAAGCCCCTTCCCGTCCCCCCCCCTCCACCCCCACATATCCGCTTACCATAAAATCTTTTAAGATTTGGGAAAAAAGGTAAGAAGCTCGAGAAGGTGGTAGGTATAAAAGGGGAATGGGGGCAAGGGGGCACGGAAGAAGTTTTGGGAGATCTGATGCCGCCATTTCTCCCATCCCAAAGCTCTATTTTGTATGCAGTAGGCTTATGATGATTTAAGGGCTCAGGGCTTTGCAGAGATGGAGAATAACTTTTTTCGCTCTGACCATTAACCGAAAGAATCGGATGCTTCTCTGGAGGTTTCCATTTGTTGTAAGCTGATTGATAGAAACTCCAAATTCTTCGAGGGACGCAGCTGTAAATTAGCGTCAAAAGGTGTACGCCTGAGTGGATGTAGTAAAAATTACAGTATGGTGCTGGTAATGAAAGCTCTAATAGGCGCACTGCGGCCACGGGGAGCGGGGGGGGGGAATGTGCAATCGCTGCATAACTAGTCCCAGTTTACAAGTTTCACTCTGGTGAAACGTGTAAGCTCTTATGAAGAGGGAGCAAGCTCGTCGAGCCACTGTGGTTAAACCTGTGAACTCTTGCAAGCTTGTGTAACTGCTATCTAGATGGGTCGGCATGTCTGTGGTAATAAAAGTGCAAAATACCCCCCCCCACCTCGCCGAACTACTCGGAGAGCAGTAATGGAACATGGTAACTACCCCCCCCCCGGTGTGCATACGTCCTTTTTTGTCGATTATCGTTGTGGGCGATTGCTTCAATTGCTTTAATGCTATCCCTGTTGCTTCAATTACTTTAATGTTCCTATTAGCTTTCGCTTTCACTGAAACTACAAAAACAAGATTTATTATCGTTCAAAAATAGCTCAAAAACATCATCACTTCAGTGTATAACTTGATAACCATAACTGTAACCCGAACCACAGAAAGCATCATCATATACAAAATGAACAATTATCACCTTTAATCTTTAATATCCTATTAATTAAAGCCTGATTGGAAGAAAGAGCACTGAAATAGAATCGAAATACTTCACATATATTATGAAAATGCAATATTAGAATTGCAAAACCGTAACAGCTTGACTCGTGTTGACTCGTCGGTGGTTCAAGAGAATGTGATAGATAACGTGAAATTATCATACGATAATACAGTTACTAGACATTACTGGATAATTACATGTAATGAATAATCGTCGAGTTTCTGCACACCAGGAAACCCTCCAGGCCTTTCGGAACACTCGCCGGAAATCTCGTCATCGATGATAAAATTTTGAGCGTTTCACCGTTCTTTCATTTTCATCATCACTGCCGTTGTTGAAGCTTCTTTCTGAAAACCAGCGCATTTATTTGTTCAACTTATTAGACTTAAGATTGGGTTTAAGTTTGTAGTGAGACGCTGTCAATAGAGCAGAGCTTGTACGCCTCAGTCGACCCATGCCGAGCTCCTCCCACCTGGCGAACGCTCCGCCTTTGACGGTTCAAACTCTCATCTACCAACTTACTGCTGGTATTAAGCCTCTTTCTCAGGTTTCTGCGATATTTCGGGACAGAGTTACGAATTTCCTGTCCTTGCCTGGTCTACCTCCGTGGGGAGGAATCAGCTTAACTCTTGTGTGCGCTTCACATATTGACCCGGGCCCACTCATTCCCGGATTTGGCCCGTCTTCTCCAAATGGTTCTCACGTAACGCTAATTTTCGGACCGACAGACAAACAAACGTAATGCTTCCTATATAGCATGTATAGAACCAACCGGTAAGGCAGCGTTCAAACTTTGCGATAACGCGCGTCGACGCGCTACCATTGCAGCGGCGCTCCATCCTTATAGACGGGAACGTAGCCGAATATGGACCACAAACGTAGCTGGCCGCCTGCGTTTTGGAAGAGTACAGCTTAACAGGAGGATGGGCACTGCTTTCTCAGACTAGTAGCCTCCTATTCCTCTTTACTCTCCCGAAATACTAGCTAGTGGCGCTGATCGCTACTCGTCTATGGCTGCGTTCCCGACTTCAGCATTGGAGAGTGGTTGCAACGGCAGCGCGATACAACATGTCGCGACAGAACATCGTTTTGAAATCTGAACGCCGTCTAATCTAAAGTGCGATCGCTTCGAGATGAAACCAAAGCCAAGCCCCTCAATAGGGAAATACAAAATAAGAATCTAAGCTGTTTTTTGAACACATGTTCTGCAGATGCAATTAAGCTAAACGCATTCAAATCTCTTATGTCAACAAACCCCACCTCATTCATCTGATCTACGAACTTTGAAGACTTCGAATGAAACATCGGTCTCCTTCGAACTAACTCCCCATTTCTAGCTTGCGCAAGCATCTAGACAGAGAAGCCCATAATAGTCACATCCTACGTATAACCCGGAACGGCGGAATTCACGACAGATAACCTGCCATTATTTACAGTAAAATATTGGAGAAAGTTTGAGCCACGTCTGTCTTGCTACCCACTCACGGTAATCAGCTGGTAATATCTTGTCAAGAGCGCCATGCATTAATCGGATCTCCACGGCTGGTCACGTAAGAGTGCCACCCACTTCACAACTGTTCCGGGTGCTTACATTTGAGAAAGCAAGTCAGATAGGTAGCCCAAACACTACAAAAACTTACTTGATGGTGAATGTAACCATGGATGCTTCAGTAATTGTTGAGCAGTTGGACGTCGATCTTCATCGATATCAAGAGCATCAGTAATTATGTCTAAGCAACAGGTATTCACTACATGGGGTTCAATTCGTATAGAAATAGAACTCACCTAAAGTTGATTGGTCGAACCTCTTGAACAGTGGTGGCAATTTACTCCTTTCCCAAAGAATGTAGCTAAGGTCACTGCTGAAAAGATCGAGTTTTCAAATGGTATCATTCAGTACTGAAAAACTCTTCAAGCAACCTGTCAGCTCGATCCCATGCTAGATCGCCTGTGAGCATTACGATCAGAACAATACCGGCTGACCATATATCGTTTTTTGGTCCACTGAAAGTAACTAATTATTTGTGCCCTATAGTAATCAAGGCAGGTAATGAAGATCCCTGATGATTATCTCCACCAAGAACGGAGGAGGGGGGGGGGATTGTTTCGGTCGCTGAGGAGACAGCGGCAATCTAAGAGTAAAATAGTTCCGGTTGTTGGCTTTTCATGGTGTCTGTTTCAAGTGCGCTGTACACCCCCTTCCAATCTCCATCCTTTACTAGGCTTGATGGCAGCTTTTCAGGGTTGTAAAGTTGGGGGAATTTAGGGAGATCGTACGTACGATTGGGGAAAGTAGGGTCGTATCAGAGAAAGAAGGTTTAAAGAGAGTCGAATCTTGCAAAAATTTTGCCCAGTGGCAGGATGCTTCTCAAAACTAGAACCGCAAAGGAAATGAGGACTTCTCCGTGCGTGCGACTATAGGGGAACGAGGTTTGGGATGGATCGATCCCGAGTGTCTTAATTCTATTCTGATAACCGT